TGTCTAGTTCTCTCATATTAGGTTTCTTTTCCTTCTGGGTATTTAATCTGAGGCATAATTATTTTCATTGTTGTCCTTTTAGCATATGGTTGCTTTAAGTTCATTGGATAACGGCTACTATCTAGGAATATTGAATACATGAATTAGAGTGAAATAAAATTGAAGAAAAGACTGATAAATCAAATCAAAACATGCTAGTAACAGAAGTATCAGAGAGTCAAATTGAAAGTGTTAAGATTATAATGATAAGAAAAAGAAGAATAATTAAAAAGGAAAATTAGAGTAAGAAAAGCATAAGGAAAAAAAGATTTATGGTGTAACACTCACAAACAATTATGTTGTAAACCGTGTATCCCACTTATAAAATTTTGGTTTCTCTTTAAAATTCTTTAAATTCCAAATTTAATTAAAGTATATGCATGTTTAAATTTCAAAATATCCAAGCATTTCCCGTGGGATTTGGGAAATCCCTCTACCCGCGAGTACTTCTTCTTTTAAAGCATTGGGTCGTGGGAAGGGGGAGAAATTTCCCCAACCTACAAGGAAGAAAACTACTTGCGAGGATATACGGACACATGGGCCATGCCTAGTGCACACACAACTGCGAGAAAATTTGGGGGCATGTGACTTGGCTTCCATTTTTCCCTCTGCCACAAAATGTTCCACTCACCACCAAATGGGGTGGTAGGAAGCTCGACATGAGCTGTCCACCCTCCTCGCTTGGTGTCTTTGTTCAGCCATCCAGGGTAGGAAGGTCTATATCACCACGCCTATCATTATAGTAAAATGATTGGGAAATTCTATTTATTTGCGCATTTAATTGCCTTAAATTTAAATTAATTTACGCTGTTATTAAGATTCGTAATTTTAATATTTTATTTATTTTTTTAATTTTATTATTATTTTATTTTAAATTATTTTATTTTATTTCAAAAGAAAAATTTAGAAAAAAAATCGAAAAATGACAAAACGGGAAAAACATACTCGCGGTAAAATTCCCATGAGAAAATGGTTGCTCACACGGGTGCTGGGCACTGTGGCGCACACATCTCCTCCGCACGTACGCACGCACGAGACGTGCGCACGGCGTGGGTCAGACCTGCGCTTGCATCATGTCGCGTGCAGACGGGGCGTCCGCGCATCACTTTGCGCACGGATTGCGTCGTACATTGTGCGCGCGCTGTCCGTGCA